GAGAGAGAGAGAGAGAGAGAGAGAGAGAGGTTCCTTTTCCACGTAAACTGGTTTCCTTTCAATCAATTATTTCTAAATCATAATCTAATTTAATTATAAATTGGAAATAAATTATTCATTATCAACACACTTATGGCATAACTATCTCTTAATTTATTTATTGGTCAATAAATGATTGAACTAAAACAGTGATATTGAATTGGAATTAATTTTACAATTAATTTTATATTCTTATATTAATAAATATTTAATTATTAATATAAACAGAAAAACGAGTGCTTCACTGAGAGAAAGAAAGAAAGAAAGAAAGAGAAAAAAGAGAGAGAGAGAGGGTTGTATACTAATCGGAATAATTTAACTCATACATACATACATTAACTCTAATAATATTACCATAATGATAAAATATATAATGTTGATAATTGCATGATGGGCTTTATATTGTGCAATTTGCGATATTTATCTCTAATCATATAAAACAACCAACAATTTATTATTAGACATACAAATAGTATAAACATGGTATAACAATTATAATTATTATATTTGCAGACAACTTTAAAAGCAAATATAGATTTATATAAGTTAATTTGAATACTTAATAAATTGTGACAATAATTAACTAAATATTTAAAGATAAATTATTAACACATTGTTTGTATAATTAACATACAGTACTCTCTGAATATACACGGAGTAATTCTGTTTCCTCCATACAGAATAAGTAATTATATTTTAAATGACAAATAAATGGGATAAATAATTTGGTATAATTTGAATATACCGCAATGGCAATTTATATACTGTAATATACAATGTATTTGAATTATTAGTATTAATTTTGTCGTTTGAAGTAGGTAAACCAAAATGAAAATCAAATTTTAAAAAGTGAAAAATAGAGTCAAAATCAATTTCTATTTCACATAACTTTTATTTGACTTGTGTTTTAAGTAGAAGTTAATAAACTACCACTTCTACCACCACCATTGCTGTTAATAGTAATATAATATATATTATGTGAATATAAATTATTTAAATCGGCTAATCATAAACTTATAAATGAAAAACTTTAATTTAAAAATATCAATGTAGCCATAGATATTTGAGATATTAAAATTTGAGTGGCAATTAGTCTATAGATTTACTCTAGATTTTAGAGTCTAGAACATTAACAACAACAAAAGTAAGAACAAAGCATTTAACAGTTACTTAAGTACAGTGAAACCTAAACAAAGGCTTACATGATATTAGCCAAAGGGGTATAAGTGGGCCGTTTGGGTGGTTTGCGTGTTTTAAACGAGAATTTAAAGTTTACTTTCTGCTCAATTAAAATAATGTTTTGAAGAATTGTTAGAAAACTATTTACTCTATTGTAAGAATTGAGGCCAATTTAATATTGTATTGTAAGTATAAGCTCATCACAACACTAACAATTGAATGACTAGCATGGGAAAGGGGTTTTTCTATACTATGCTACATATACTAAAAACCCCTTTCCCATGCCAGTCATTCAATTGTAAGATATATTCTATATCTAGTTATTATTGAAATATTACTATTTTGTATCAAATTTTCACTTTAGAAGACATTTCATTTTTAAAAATGATCAAAAATATGTTTGTGTTAAGTATATGCAATAAAATTTGGCTCAATATGCACTTTATTAACAACATATGAAATGCCCTTTGTATTGAATGTTAAGTATTTGTCGTCATATTAAATATATAATAAAATTCATTATTAAATATGAAAATAAATGTTAATTCTAACAGAAATTAACTAAACAGTTAGCCGCCAATAATTTTGGCTATAATATAATGTATGATTCTGTATAAAGATATGATTGGTTATGGTATAAATGGGTTTTAATTGTGAAATACAATACCATATTGTTTATGGATGTTATGGATGTTTGAATTCGAATTCAAAGCTCAGTTACACTGTTATATAGATAACTGAATTGTTTGTTCAATTGATGAACATTTCAAAGAATTTGCCAGACAATAATTGTACTTGATCAACATACATAATTATATAACGACAAAATGATCTATAACCACCAAATTCGTATACTTTTAAATATCAATACTATATGTAACATCAATTTATCATAAATTTACTATAATACTATACATCATGGTAACAATGATTAGCATCTATACTGTATAACGCTATAAATACAATTGGCCTCAAAAATATGAAACAAAATTTGGAAATAATTGAATATGAAATTTGATGACAACAAATGCTATTAAATAATAGTCGTTATAAAATACATATTACGGTAGTTATAATTGAATGAACATTAGTTAATGTAATGGTAATGTTATATAAGAAATATAGAGGAAAAAGAGTTGAGTTTCACATACAGGCGCAAGAAGTGGATCGACTCCTAAATTCATTCTTAGGACTCGGGCTGTCGTCTGAATTGATGGCAATAAAGGGTGAGGTGTTGTTGGGAAGGGTAGTGGAGGGCATTGTCGACATACTTCTGTTTCTGCCATAAAAGCCCACATCAAAGTAAACTCGGATAGCGTTGAAGGCATATGTATTCATAGAACCCAATCGATTGCATTGAAACGTTTGTTCCAAAGCTTTTTCCAGATTGCGTTCGTCTCCGTCTTTAGCGAACACTTCGACGGTCTCTGCACTTAAAAGTCGCGATTTGAACCTCTCCTCCACTTGTGAGGCATCTTTAATCCAATTGTTGATGCGGTGGTGAACGTCATCCAACACATCCTGTTTAGTGACCAGAAAAATCTTCGAAGACAGATATATTGGCGCCGGTGGTGGCGGACCAGCCGTGTGCTCCACTTCTGGCTCAAAGGGCTTAGTATAGGCCACACGAAGAATGTGCACATAATCTCCGTGTTCAGTGTGTGAACAAACCCGAGTGTCCACTTTGGTTACTGTTAAAAAATATATATATCATTAGTTGGCAATGATACTTACAATCATTAGTTGGCACAAGTGCATTCAGCATCAATTATACGCTTATACATGCTCTGTATACAGTATACTGTACTTTACTCATTAATAGATAACTATCACACCCTTACTTAAAAACATAGCTACTTGCATAACTGTAATACGGTATTAATTTATGTAATATGTAATTTACTATTATTTTGTAATATGTATATAATATGTATATATAGTTAATGTCTCACGAGATTTGAGTTTAATGTCAATCGACTGTGCGTTTAGGAAATTAATTTCTGGATTGTCTGACAACCATTGAGACGCTCTATCGATGATCGACGAGAACTTCTCAAAGTGGGGTCTTTTGAATAGACTGCCGCCCGACAAGTGATGAGGTGTGAAGTCAGCGATGCCTATCTCTTCCTCCAGACACGAGCCCTCTTCGTAAAAGAGCCGAATAATAGTCACGTGTCGGGACGACTCTTCGGCAACACTTAGCTCTGTGTCTATCTTCCAGTCGCCGTTCGCCTCAACGTTAAGCGATTCAATAGTAATAAGTCGTTTGCCGTCAAAATTTTGTGCACGAATTTTGGCATTAATTCTGGAGACGACATCATCCAAGTTCTCAAAATTACCATCTTTTCGCAAAGGCTCAAAATCCATGTACTTTAACACAGATGTTTCACTCTCCGCTTCTTTCACCACCATTTCCTCTCGCCGTTTGATCCAAACTCTAAAAAGTTATGTCAACTTTAGAATACAATTTGCGCACATATTATGTTTCTTATTTATTAATAACAAATGCAAACAAATTAATATAAATCAGTATTAATCCATAACTTGAGTACAAATAGTAAATATAGTTCAAATCCAACCAAAACTACTACATTGTAGTAAATCATAATCATATAATATTTTAAATGTTATAAATGTACATTTATTAGGAGTGATTCGCATACTACGTTAGCACCTTTTAAAAAATCTAGATCCCCACCCCTCCATTTGTCACATTATAAAAATATTACGTTTGCAAAATTGCCAGGTAATTAATACTCAATATATAAGATGTTATAAGAAGTGAGTTTAAAGAATATAAGCTATCAAATAGTCCCGAATCATTGGGACACCCTTTACAGTATAGTAGTTGAAAATTAAGCCTAAATATTCAGATAAATCCAAAGTCAATTTGTGAATTTAATATTTTAAGAATTTAAAAAATGTGATTTTTATGTTAGATTAAAAATTCTGATTAAAATTCTACATTTTATATATAATATTTATAAAAAGGATAAAGTTCAATGTTAATTGATAATAGGCCAAAAATTTTATATTAAAATTTTTTTGTTGTTTTTAATTAGCGAAATTAATTAGCATTGTGAGCATAATTGAAATTGATATAAATGATGTACAGTAATTAAGTTAATCAGTATAAATACCGTGCATAACTGTTACTAAATTTCTTAATTTTGATTTAACTTTTACACATTATGTCAGATTTGGGAAATTCCTTCAGATTTCGAATCCTCTCATTCATACCTTTCCATTGATATATAATATGATATACTTATTCATAAGATACAATATTTGGCATTCAAATTTTTCCCGATAAAAGTGGTCACTGTGGCCGAACCCGAGGTCGTCTGGCCAAATAAAATATATCACAGTACTTCCTACAGACTGTACTTTCGATTGATAACAATAATTCCCGGGTGCACTCTGGGCCTAATTTGAACATTGTCTTTTCAGTAAAATATTCAAATGAATTTTTCTATAAAAATGTGAAATTATCGCATGTTTTTTAATTAGGTGAAATATATTATTTGCATACTAATTGAAACAATTATCACTTCAAATAATTTGGAAAGTCTTTTCGTTTGAGATATTTTAAGTTATTAAATATTCTTTTAAATTCTTGGAAATTCTGCCATATATTCTATGAATATTTTACTTAAAACATGAATTCTAAAATGCGATAATAAAATAACAATAAATTTACTATAACTAAAATGAATAGTATTTAAATAAATTATTTTTGATATCATTAGTTAATTACAGCTTAAATTACAGAAATTATTGGATTTTTTAAATTAAAATGTGCAATATAGATATTGTTACTATAAACGGTGTCCCAATGATTCGGTACTATTGTGTATTTACATAGGAAAACATTGAGTTAGTACTTTATTATAAACACGTGTAGATCAGGCATCTATAACCCGATTTTAATAAACTCGGTCATTTTCAGACATTTATAAATGACACTTTATCTTCTGGAACTAATAATACAATTTCACTAATGTTCTTGCCTATTTCTATGACAATATTTAAACTAAATGTATTATTTAAGAAATGACGGCCAAGAAAACGGATTTCTTTATTCAAAAATTTAAACAAGTATCAGAATTTTTAAAATTTTCTTAATTTATAATAAAAACATATTAATCAACATAATAAGTTCGATGGTTATTAGATGTTAGCTATTTTATTGAGAAATAACGCTGAAATAAATAATTTAAGAATAAAATTACTGTGAAGAGTACAGTTACGTAAAATTAATAATAATTTTAAATTAGCTTAGTACTTATGACATTCAATCTTTTAAATTATTATTATCCATCTAAGACAACAATTTCCAGAATTAAGCTAGGTCATCAAAATCTATAACAATATAAATGTAGAAATTTTAAATAAAAGTCCTCCTGATTAAGCAAAGGCCAATTAAATAAAATTTAAAGTACACCGAATTAATATTTAGTTAATTATATTAGATTTCCATTATTAATCAAAAAGGAAAATAGTTATAATCAGGGATAATTTGTTTAAAGAATATAAGCTATCAAATAGTCCCGAATCATTGGGACACCCTTTACAGTATAGTAGTTGAAAATTAAGCCTAAATATTCAGATAAATCCTAAACATTCCCTAAATTTTATCACCAACATCACTACCCATAAATTACATGAAAATTTCTATTCAACAAAATCACATGAACATTGATGGAGATATCATATTAAATAATATAAATACTGTATTTAATAATCTAATAATAATTTACAGAAATGTCTGTAACTTTTGAATGATTGGTTAATAATAAACTAACTTATATGCTGTAATAATAGGATGGATAATATGATGGCAAACCTTAACACTTTTAAGGATGTCTCAAAATCGCCTCGGGTTGGAGTGACCCATGGATTAGTGGCCGGATTAGTTTGAACCTCCCATCTGCTGACCATAGTTGTGAGATTGTGTCGATACGACAACTTCACAGTTTCACAGTTGATGACCTCCCAGTGCGGGTTCTTCTTGAGCCATGAGTTACATGTATCGACCAAAAACCTACACAACATAACACAATACACAATAATCGTACATATCATACATTTACTAAATTGAAATATTAGTGAATATAGATTATCATTCATGTCATGTCTAACATTTGAATGTTTGCACAATTAGTGTTCAACTAATAATAATACATTTGTCTAATATAATATATTGTATAGTATAAATATAATTATTTTAATTGCTAACATACTATAACATCTATATAATGTATTAAATATTTCCCAAAGTCTATGCCTATATTTATAATATTATTTATGAAGTACATAGGTTGTGGGTTGATATTTTTGCTAATAAATTTAGATTATTTCATTTATAATTATATTATGACTATATGTGTATATTAGTGTAAGAAACCGAGATAAAATGTAAATACATTTTAAATTTAACAATTATTGCAAATAATTTAGTGAGCATATAACGCAGTTGATGCATATATTTATATGATATTGAATAAATTATTTTGTTTTGGTAAAATTGTTATTAAATAAATTTAATACCTAGTTAGTAATTGATTATTTTATTAAATAAAAAGAAATAGAACAATGATTGGTATATTGATGATTGTAAATACTAGCAAAATGAGCACCTGTATGAACACTCTATGAATACTGTGAATATGTGAGCTCTGTAGACAAATACGTAATATGAGTTCATTTTTAATTCCCAATAAATCAATATTAATATAAATTTAAAATATCTATCCCAATGTAGTTGACTTATAATTATACTTATATTTATTTATACAGTATACTGTATAAACTTAATTGAGTGTATATTATAAAATGACATAAAATAGATTGTAAATGTATGACTGATGTGTGTAATGGTGTTTAGTTTACCGAAAGGAATGGTAGTCCACTTGACTATTGGCTGAGAACTGATGGACGGACGGAACGATGTCGACAAAGGAGAAGCGGGCGTCGTGTGGGATCTCCTTCTCTAAGATCAACGGGTCTTCAGGTTTTTCCGGACAATTCTTCTCACGAGAAATACGATTCAAATATACGGCACAATAAGCCATCACTTGATTACAACTATTCACTTCTCACTTATTTTTGATAATTAATTGTTTTTACAATTATTATTCCACATAAAATCAAAATCAAATGAAATGATATGATTAATGAAGTGTTTATATAATATATTCATTAAGCTTTAGATTGTGTTTAAATTGCAATTAGAATTATAGGATAATCGTATTAATAAAGGTGAAATAAAAAAGTAGACCAATTATTGAATATAATATAAATTGAATTATTGTAAACCAAAAATAAATAATTAGATTTGTTTTAGGAAATGATAGTTATGTTTATAGAATCATAATTATGTTTGAAACACATTCAATGGTCACTCACTTAGAAAATGATTGAATCAAAAACAAAAGCATTTGAATAAAAATAATTGTTTGACAATAAATAAATAATAGCAGTGTTTGTATGGAGTAGTTGTTAACATTGATGTGATGTAATATATGTAATATAACGCCTGCACTCACATAAAGCCATCATATTATTGATCACAAACTCGAGAGTTATTTAAACTGTATGTGAACTCCGAGTTCTCGTTGAAGAACACAGTTTCACAGTTTGTGATCACTAGTTGAGAGGAAAGGGAAGGCAGCAATCC